TCATTATAACCATTTCAAATTGATGACTGTTACAACCCCCAAATCCACCAACCAGACATAATTTGTAGCACTGTACAAATGCGCTGTTCACTAGAAAGGTGGCAAATTGGTATATATACTTGCAAAAAAGTTCCTATTATTGGCATCAGAATTAGTTCCGGAATCACTGCTTTCTAAAAACATTCATGTGTTTCCACTCTGATCAAAAGTAAAAGGGAATGTCCCTTTAATATTTGGTGTTTTCTGTTCTGATGCCACTAATAGGAACAAAAATAAATAAAAGCAAATTGATAATATGTTCTCAGTGCCTCAGCAGGTGGCAGCAGCTGAGCAACTTTGCTTGGCCTTACAAACCACATAGAATTGGGTTAGTATTTGGATGGGAATCCTTAGGGGACTTCCCAGGGTTAATTATTAGATTGGAAAGTAAAAATAAAAGGGGACAATGACAAACTAGTTCTGAGGTTCTACCAAGAAAACCACATGGAACTATCTATGAAGTCATCAGGAATCCACCTTCATTCAAAGAGGATGACTTATGAATACTATTATAGCATGCCAAAGATACTTACCTAAGAGCAATTTAGCAAGATGATTGATCTGATTGCCCTGTATCTGGACTTGTGATCTGTCCTTTACTCCAGGGATTGCGACGATAGTGGTGCTAGCTTGAACCTTTTGTTGAAGGGTACTAGCAACAGCCTGGGGGTCCAAACCATACAGCTCAAGATTCTTAATTATTGTTACCTGGTAGCCAAAACAAAAAAAGGGCATTACAAAATTAATTGTAAGATTGGCACTAAATGGCTATCTCAGAATTTAGGGTATTACTTTTATGTGAGTATGCTCTACTTTATTGACACATTTCAAACTGGGGGGCATACAATTTTCCCCCATGCAGATTAATCACATCTTTAAAAAAAATCAACATAAACATCTTTAGAAATGCTAATTTGACACCAAAGAGGCATAACAATTTATGAACCTGTTTAAATTTAGTTTTAGGACTTATGTGAAGAACAGATCATGTTTTAGGTCATAGTTATGCAGAAGTATTGAACATTCAAAAACATTCACAAATTTAAATCCTCACTATATAATTACATCTGGGTGTCTTAAATGTATGGATGCATGTATGGAGAGAGACAGTCATCATCCAGTGGGTGACACTGCTGATTTATTGACCCATGCAAGCATGTTAAACTTCTTCCTGATGATAGATTCTGGACAAATGCCGTTGGGACTTCCGCTCACCTTTTTATTGGATGATCTCTGTGCTATGGTTACGTCAATTGGAAGGATGTTTCCTTTTCTCACAACAGGTTCTTGTCCCCAAAAGGTTACCTGATGGAAGGGTTCTAGTTTGTTTAGACACCTGCCAGTAAATTAGAAAATGTTAAGCTTGTCTAGTAAAAGCTGATGAGATGGTTATTTCAGCATTTATGGCTTAGCCATTCCTGATGTCCAAAATTGCCAACTACATCTATCCATTTAGTACATGAATGCTGAACCCTGTGAGTATGGTGCTATTAAAAATATTTCAGGAACAAGAACTTATTTCTGGCTTTGTAATATACTATTTCTCTTAGCAGGTCATTTATTTTATAGTAAAAGACTGTTAAGACATTGGGAAATCTATGCTGAAGAGGACAAC